AAATCATACAAACACCAACAAAAGTTTTCACAAATTTATCCTTCTTTAAACCTGTCTTCTTTCAAAGCCTTTTAAGATAGATTGCTACCCAAAAGTCATTTACTTTTATTGAGATGAAAACATTGTTGGTATTACCAGAGGTACATTACTTGGGGTTTGAAACTACGGTGACATGATACCAAGATCCTGTTTCAATCTCGCTCTCACATAAGCATTCCAACTCCAACAAGAAAAATGCGGATGCGCATGCCCGAGTAACTAGGATACTGGGATGTCCAGGTGGATCAAAATAGCTGCTCACGATATGACGGATTACAATAACTATATTTTCTGTACATTTTCGATGTATTACATTTTTTCACTATGAATTTGGTAATACAATAACATGTTTTATTGTTTTATTAAAAACCGCCTATGTCATGTCAAAAGGTCGTAGCATGATCAGTCTCGCTATCTACAAGATGAGACTTGAATGGGATCTTGACATGATGTCACCATACAGTACTATGCGCGTTGCAAACCCCAAGTAATGTACCTCTGGTATTACTGATTTATGGTTATTAACAAAATAGCGGAATATATTTATGTAATAGTACAGCGAAGGTATTCTCTGAGACAATATTGTAGCATCTATGACAAAACTGTAGTGTACAACGTACTTGACCTAAGTACACATCTTTACATGATTAAACAGATTCAAGAACATTTATTTGACATTTTTTGAATTATTAATATAAATTTTTTTCTATCAGAGGAGAGTAAACTGCTTTTATAATTTTTTTTTTAATTCTTTTAAATAATTTTATATCTTAATACTTTATTGATGTCCACGGATATGATAGAAATCTTATTTTTAAAGATGCAATTTCTTTGTATAAATTAAGCAATGTATTCAAAAACTTTCATAAAACCATAGACTTTTAGAGGATCTATGATAAAACTGAAGCAAAGTGTATGACAGACCACGATCAGCTGGAATGTGTGACCTTGGGTGTACACAGAAAGAGGAGAGACCTAGTCACGGGGGTTACGTGCATTGATGCCTCCACGAAACAGCATCCCGGTGAGTGGTTACAACTTACTGCCAATGCACATGACAACAGGCGTGCTACGATGACTGAAAACATGTGAGACTGACACAAGTGATTCACCGTCGTTGCGATTGACAGATTCACGCAACTTGTTGTGAACAAGTACTAACCATAACTTCATTGAATTTCAGCTGTATAGTTTGAACAGTCCAGTCGACATCTTCTCCTTGGTCATTTTTTATTCTTATTACAAACGGCTGGACGGACATTATTCTACATCGCAAACATCTCGACAAAACTACAACCAACTTTACAACCGGAAGTTCTCCATCTTTAATCCAGGTTTGTTTGTTTGATGTGTGACGTCTCAAACGCGATTCTTATTTGCATATGCCTGGAATTCAAAATACAAACCAATACTGGAAAAAGCTGGCAATTGGATCGCAACATAACCTACGTACGTGGTCAAGTAATTGTATATATAATTCTGTGTTACTTATCGGTAAATGTTAAAAGAAATCAATGGATATATAAATGCATGAATTTTATATATAGCTGCCATTAAAATTTATCTCACCGTGTATACAATTGTGTCGATATTTGTAGCTATATTATGGAATGGGCTCCTATTGTTTAATCGGTGGTCCGATGGCTGTGGGTTACCCTACATTGTATACAGTCTAATTTCAGTCAGTTCCGTGTGATGTGATGCGAGTTAGATACATAAACCTCCCACGCCGATCCTTGACCACTTTTGTTGACATTGTTTTGTATTATTTTATTTATTTGCGATTCGAACAATGTCAGCGAGTGTTTTCAAAATGCACGCACACCAACTTGAATAGCATAAAATGGAAATTACTGTTTTCTCGTGCTTCCTCGCTAGCTTATTCCGTTCCGAATATGTTGGTCACTTCTGGCCTAATGACGGTCAAGTGTAACAAATCCAATAACGTAAATATTGGTGTTTTCGAATTTTCAATATCTTTGTTATTTATTTAGTGAATACCTGCATTGCTGTGTTTCCCAAACATTTTCATTAAAGGTCTAAAACGAAATATAGGCATTAATATTCCCCAATTGTGAGCGACGTTGTGGAAACTCGTCAAGTCAATAACAAAGCCCCTACATGAACTTGTTTTTGTTTTTATGTTTTGGGCGAAAAAGTGTCATTTTTGGTCAAAAAAATAAAAATCTGTGTCTTATTATAACTCCATAACGCTTTGACCAATTTTCATGATATGCAATCCGTGACCAATCGCGGTCATCGCATAAAGATCAAGAATAATCGATATGACATAACCTTTACCGCTGAGTATAGCGAAAGGAGTTAACAATTATTTCGTTGCATGGACGCTTTTAGCCAGCCGATTCAAGAGGTGACAAATAGCGGCCACGAAATGTTAACCATGAGTACTGTGGAATACTTTATTTTCGCTGGAATTAATTTTCGCTGAAAAGGCTTTTTAAGCGTTTTGTATGGAATTTATTTTCACTGATTTTTGGTGAGTTTAATGTGAAATATAGGAAAAAAGTATATTCGCTGGTTTTTATTTTCACGAAATCATCCCTTCAGCGAAAATAAAGTATTCTACAGTACTCAAAATTACATATCACGTGACAACTTTATCCCGTTGAGCGTTATGGCGTTCAGGAATCATGTGGCGATACGCGCCCATTTATTATCTGCGGAGAGATACCGATGCCAGATTTGAAAGTGACATTGCGCAGTGAGATGCGAATGCATTCGATAAGGGATGGACTATGCGTATCCATAGGAAGGTATGGAGTGTGATACAATTTTGGTAGATTCATTATCATGATTTCAGGTCGTTAATCTCTAACAGGATCGGTCACAAAATCATAGGATTAACCCTAGAGACAATTAATTAAAGCGCGGTGGTTGTCGCACTGCTCATGTGTGATATTTGTGTTGATAAACATTAATTTTCCCACAATCCAATACGCTCTTCAAATGAAAATCACAAATATGAGGTTTGACCTTGGCGCCACTTGCACTGAATACCGCTGGTGACTCCTTCGATTCCTTCCAATAACCTAAAAAATATCTAATTAAAGCTTAGAAATGTCTCAGTTTGTACTCAGTTTGTTGATCTGCGCAACAGTGAAAGTCGCCATCTTTGTTTATATGAGACCCATATATCTCGAGCATGCGTGGCGCGACGACTACTGCCCTTTAAATCATGATGTGATTTGCTTTTAGGTATCGCGGATTAAAAAAAATATCCCATTATAAGGAAAAACACTCATAATTGGACAGAATACAGAATACAAGTTAAAGGGAATCTGCAACTAAAGTCAAGCTATTGACGCCACGAGAGTTACCAATTATATTACGGTATCATTGCATCACGGTAGTCTTGTTACAAAAATGATAAACGTCCGGAATATAATACAAGTACCAACATATTCACGCACATGGGTGGGCGAAGAATGTGGGCGGTGTATGCATATGCTAGTAAATCACTCAAACATGAATCATATTAATCCAATTGCCGTTAAATTATCGTCATAAAGTTTATTTAAAAAAAAATGCTCAAAGGGATAAAGTACCAGACGAGTGAGCGATTTTTGATGTTAATTATTCCTGATCTTTAAACAATGGCCGCGATTGGTCACAGATTCAATTCAGATGCGTATCACCAGTTGAAAGTGCACTGATGCGCGTACATTATATTTTATATTATATATTATGATTTTAGGTATGTGCGGGTATGGTTTTGGGGTCAAAAAGTGTCATTTTCACCTTTTTTTGACCACTCATAATTGACTTTGTCTGTAAAATTGAGCTTATCAATATATGTGTTTTGTATTACCCATATACGTTTTAATGAAATTGATCAATGTTTTCGCGAGAACAGGCAAAACATATTTTCAAACTATATTTTACCAACTTAAGAATGACAATTAGACCCCTTTAATGGATTTTGATTGTGACATGTACATTGTGCATTGTCATTAACAGGAAAAACATCCTTTTCTCCTATTTTTTACCAAAATTCGTACTTAACATGCACATATCCAAAAACGGATTAATGATACACACTATACACCTCTGTAGCGAATTTCGTCAAACTCGGTCAAAAAAACATATTTAACCCCCGGGGTCTGATTTAAAGATTGATCTGGTGCGCATGTCTGTGAAATAAAACGCGTTAAAAGGTGTTTTTGTTTTTTTTATAGAAAAGCACGTTAACGCGCGTTACGCGTTTAGGTTTACCATTTCAGTCAAGATATACAAAAAGGGTGTCTTTTCCGTTTGACAGTGCAATTATCATTGTGAACATTCTGCCTTGATATTTTGAAAATACATTACAGCACAATTGTTAATTTTCAATTAAATAATTTGCAAATTCAAAATTGGTTGTGAAAGACCCCAGGATGAGTTGAGGTAGAGTGGGTTTTATTTATGGGTTTCAGATATATGCTCAATGAGGGAAATTGTCGAAACCAAACTGGAGAAATTTCTTGATGTTTGCATATTCCTGAAAAATAAATATGATCCTAACATAATATGTTGTAGTGTAAATCATTTAGAAGTAAGGATATTATAGCCACACTGTGAAAGTGACTAATACAGTGTTAATTGCCATTTAAATGCTGACAACATTTCTGCTTTAATTTTGTTTCATGCCGTAAATAGATTTTAAAACGCATTTAGGGTATTATTTTAGCTTTCTAACAGTGAAAAGGGTACGAAATTTTGACCTTTTAAAACGTGTTTAGGGTCATTTTGAAAACCTTTTGCAGAGACATGGGTTCCAGGTATTTCCACAAGTCGGATCCCCTGGTATTTAACATGCACAGACTAAGAAACAAAGTTGACATGCATATGTACGTTTCAGCGATACACTCATAGTTCAAAGTGCTTCGGGATTACGTTGATACAGTGTAACAATGTCGGCGCTGGTGATCTCTTACCAGTGTGCAACGTAGCCAAAATTAAAAGCACATGACATTTGACCACTGTTATTAAAGACTGGAAGGAGGTAATACATTTGGACCTGGGGCGTAAGTATTCAAAAATGACTTTTTGGCTGTTGCATTGGCAGCGGTGGGCCAGGATTTTTTTCAATTAGTGACAGTACGACCTGCCTGTCAAGTATGAACAAAACCAGCCAAGCCCAAAAAAATCACAAGGGGGCGCTCCAGAGATAGCGTCATCTTACAACATTATAGCTGCGGTTCCGTAGCTCTTTATTGCGACCTACAATCGAATTTCGCCTTATCAATTTCATTTGGACGTCTTCTTTTTAATTTTGTTGTTGTACGTCGAACAGAGTCAGTCACGTAAATAATGCGGTCGGCAACATAGGGCTATGATTCCACAGCTAACAACATTAATGAACGAAATTTACATTGCAATTTCATGCTTCCGAACAATCCGATGTTTATGCCGGAGAACAAAGTATACAAGTACTGTCTACGATCATGGAAGGTACTAACGTTAGTACCTTCCATGCTACGATATACCGCAAAGTACAAAATTCCAAGAACACAAAACAAAAAATTGACAACAATCGACAAAACAAAACAAAAACTGCCCGAGTACACTACACAGTCACATCGGTATGAAAAAGATACTGTGGAACTGATGGCAAGTGTAAATACAAAATAAATGTCAGTGAGTACAATATTTATAAAAAAAATATTGCAGCCTCCATTGACAAGTTGACAACCCCCAATATTGCGAAACCGTCAGTTGTGAACTGAACTTTAAATCTCATTGAGATTTCCACAGACAACAAAATGCATTATTAAGACAAGGAAAAATAATGTTTTTTTATTTTTTGTCAAGGCAATATACTATTTTGGGGGTATTTGTGTGAGTGTTTTACATAAACATATGTTAATCCATTATTATCAGAACTTCAAATGTAATCAAAGTGCAAATGTCATAGTAAACAAAATTATCGAGAATGATTTTGTATTTGTTGAAAAAATAGCCGAAATGTTGTGACATTGTCTAATTGGCAGTGGGAAGTGCCAAGCCAGTTTTTATAAAATACTAGTAAATAGTGAACAAACATTTTCGTAAATATTACTGACCGCGAATGACGCCCATCGCGAAGTGTCTTGTTATCGCCATCAAATGTGTTTTCAAAACATCTTGAAAGTTCAGGGTAAAATATTAAATTGCTTCCATATTCTCGCGAAGAGGGGTATTTCTAAACAGATACGATGCCTCAAATGAGAACCAGTGCGCCCTCTGTTGATGTTTTGTAGCCAAAGTAGCATACTAGTAACTCACGGGGACGTATTGTCCAAACAATACTGAT